CGCACCTCGGCTGTGGTGGTGCTCACGGGCGGGTGTGTGTGCATGGGGCCCGGCGCAGAAATTCAGTGTATATGTATATACAGTATACCTATACATATATAATATATATCCATACACGTGTGTATGTGTGTGCACAATACACACACACGCGCATATATGCCTGTGTGTTTATAACGTGTGTCGATATCTGTGTTTATAACGTGTGTCTATGTCGGTGTGTGTATATATATCTATATTTATATAGATATATATACACACACACACACGCACATTATATGGAAATAATTGTATAAATTCTCCTATCTATATTGTGTGTCTATATATAATGTGTGTATTATATAAATATATACACATGCGCATTTCATAGAATTGCGTGTATTATCATAGATATATGCACGCACATATTTGTGTGTGTGTGTGTATATAATGTGTGCAAATCTATCTATCTATCTATCTATCTATATATATATATATATATATAACATAGAAACATACACGTATGTATTCTTTTATACACACACGTGTGTGTATATAAAACGTGTTTGCAAATATATATCATGCGTTTGTGTATATATACATAAATATGTGTGTGTATATCTATAAAAGTGTGTGTGTACGAATGGTGTGTGTATGTATGTGTATACATACATACATATATACACACACACACACACTTTGTAGATAGATAGTGTGTGTATGTATGTGTATACACATGTGTGTGTGTGTGTGTATATACACATTTTATAGATAGAGATATATATATGCACACATATATTTATTTATTATATATGTATTTATTTATATATGTGTGTGTGTATATAATGTGTGCATATATATATATATATATATATATATATATATATTAGTGTGTGTATATAATATATACATGCACATTATATAGAAAGAATTGTATGTATTTTCTTTAGGCGCACATAGATTTTCCCTATATACACATAGTAAAATATATAGAAACTTGAATATATATCGATATAAAATATACATTCATAAATAGATATAAGTGAATGCATATTTTATTAAAACTATAATATATAAACTCCCCCCGGAAAATATTTTTTAATCCCCCGATTCTCTGTTTTTAGTCAGAATTCGTTTGCAGAATCCCGAGCTGCCCGTGTGCAACGCCAAAAATCTGCTCAAAAAATGAAATTAGTTGAAGATTAAATAAAAAATAAATTCTCCCCCGCTCCTCCGCGGCTGAGTCCCTGACTGAGGCAGATTTTATTTTGTTTTGTTTTGTTTTTTAATTCCCCAGTCACGCCGAGCGCTGCCCAGTGGAAGCTCTTCGTGCAGCCCAGGTCGCACACGGGGAAACTTTAGATCTGCAGCTCACAGCATTCCCCCCCGCCCTTCTTTTCTTTGCTGCTCGCCGAAACCTCCCGTGTTTCTCGATCTCGCGTTAAATAAATTCCAACCACAAAAAAAAAAAAAAAAAAAAAAAAAAAAAAGAACGGCAAAAAGAAACTCGCCTTTTCAATTAGGGAATGTTTTATTTTACACTCCTGACATTTTAAAAGGTTAACAAGGTGGGAAGATGGCCAAGGACAACAACGACAATCGAACAACCATTTCGCTTTAGATTGAGGGACGTCAAAAAAGAAAATACCCTCCAAGCAAAGAAAGGGCTGGAGCGGGGGTTGTTTCCTACATGCTTTCCCCTTAAAACTGTCTGATTTTTTTGACAATGGAAGTGTTCTCCGCGCGGCTCAGCGGCGTGTCAGTTTGCGAGCCGCCCGGCCTGTGCCGGGGAAGGAGCCGGGCTGCTGCGGAGCAGAGCCCGCACGGGGCCGGCAAACCTTGTCTCTGCTCCGCTTTAAGGGAAATCGCAGGAGCCGGTTGTGCTGGGCCGGGCCAGCCGGGCTCGAGCCGGGTTTTGCAGCGCTGCGGGGAAAGCAAAGATCCCCCATAGGAGCAGGGGTTTTCTGCCCGGTGCTTGGAGCAGGGAGGCCCGCGGGATCCCCGTGTGTCCCAGTATATTTAGAAGGGTTTTTTTTCTTTCTTTCCTTCTCCCGCCCCCGCCAGACAAGGAGCGCAGCGGCGAGCAGAAGAGCGAGGACGGCACCGCCGAGGACCCCGCGAAGAAAAAGAAGCAGCGGAGGCAAAGGACGCATTTCACCAGCCAGCAGCTGCAGGAGCTGGAAGCCACTTTCCAGCGGAACCGCTACCCGGACATGAGCATGCGGGAGGAGATCGCCGTGTGGACCAACCTCACGGAGCCGCGGGTCCGGGTAAGCAGCGCGGCGTGGATTCGGAGTCACTCCGGCGGCGGCGGGGGGTGCCTGATCCTGGCCGGGCGCCGGTTCCTAAGACTGAAATGGGCAGATGCTTTGTTAAAAGGCCTCCTAAACAGCCCTGCGACGGGCGGAAAGTGAGGGGAGAAATCCAACCCAGCCTCCCTGTGGGCAGCTCCCCGCGGAGCGCGCTGGTGGCGGGTTACGTTTCCCTTGCTCTTGTCCCTGTGGCCGTGGAGCCCCCGCCAAAGGGCTCAGCCCTGCGGGGAGAGGTGCGGGAGCCTCGGCCCTTAGGAGCCCCCTTGGATATTTTTATATAGGATAGCGAGATGCATGTTACCCCGGGTTATTTCTGCAGCGGCGCTGCTGGGTGCGGTGTGTTCTCTCCCGCCCGCGCGGGGTAGAGCCCCTCGCCCCGCCGGCCCTGCGCCCAGCGCCTGGGCAGCGGGGTCGTCGTTAAACAAAGCCAATCAGCCGGATCAGGCGCCGGGCTCGGCCGGCCGGGCTCCCTGCTAGCGCGGGACAGAGCCAGGGCAGCACCCGGAGGCGGCTCAGCCCAGGTGGCTGCGCTTGCGGCTCCCAGCTCGGCAGCAAGGGATCGCGCCCGGAGAAATAAAAAGTCCCCCACAACCCCGTGTCTGGCGCAGCGCCCAGCCAATCCGCCCATCGAGCTGGCGTTAGAAAGCAGGGGCAGGATCGCTCCCCGGCCAGCACTGTTGCTGCCCCGGGATAGCAGGGAGCAAATGAAGCACTGGGCAGCTCTGCGCGAGGGGGAGGGAGGGGGCTTGGCTCGCGTGTTCCCGGACCGCAGATCTGCCGCGGGGTGGGGGGCTGCTCTGGCAGGCACAGTTCACCCGATCGCCCTTGTTTTCAGGAAACCCCTGTCTGGAAGCCCCTTCCGAGGGCCCAAGCTGAGCCTGGCCCAGGTCTCTGTGCGAGATGCTGATTATTTTTCCAAGCAGCCTCCGCGATCCTTTTCCCCTCCAGGTTTCCACCCTGGCCTGGCTGCTTCTCCTCTCCCCGCCCCGGGCTCCCCTCGCCCGCAGCCCCTGCTGCAGCCCCCTCGCTCGGGGCGCGGGGCCCTTGGGGAGGGGGGTCCCGGCTGCTCGAAGCCCCGCAGGGAAGGGAGCGATCCTTCTTTAACCCGGAAAAGCAAAGGCCTGTGCTGCTGCCTTGCCCCCTCTCACTGCCCGGGCCCAGAGCGGGCGCCGGGTCCTGCTGCCCGGGTACCGGGATCCGGGACGGGGACCCCCGACTTCCCCGGGACCTAGGCCAGCCCCCGGGGCCCGCTCTCAGACCCTGCAGGCCACCACGCGGGCGGGTGCTTCTTCCCTGGGCGAAGCAGCCTGATCCAACCCCCTGGTTTATGATCTGTAACAGGGGAGTTTTATTAGGGGCATTAGAGCTCGGAAACGCGGCCGGGCCAGCCCGCATCAGAGCCGGGCAGGGCAGGGCAGCGCGCTGGAGCGGGGCCAGCCCATCCTCTCTGTAAATAAGAGCAGTAACATGCGGGGCTGAGAGGCGCAGACACCCACGGACCTACACACTCAGGCGGAGAGCGGCAGACTCACCGTGCTCGACACATGTGCGTGCACAGCCAGGCGGACAGACACGCAGGAGCAGGGAGAGACGCGCAGCTACACAGGCAGACAGAGGCAGAGCTAGACCCATACGGAGATCAACACGCAGGCAGAGACAGACGCACAGATCCGCACACTCGGGGAGAGGCAGAGATAGACGCGCACACACACACACACACACAGAGGCAGGGCACATTTAGATGCACACACTCCGGCAGAGGTAGACGCGCGCGCACACACAGAGGCAGGGCACACTTAGATGCACACACTCCGGCAGAGGTAGACGCGCGCACACACACAGAGGCAGGGCACATTTAGATGCACACACTCCGGCAGAGGTAGACGCGCGCGCACACACAGAGGCAGGGCACACTTAGATGCACACACTCCGGCAGAGGTAGACGCGCGCACACACACAGAGGCAGGGCACATTTAGATGCACACACTCCGGCAGAGGTAGACGCGCGCGCACACACAGAGGCAGGGCACACTTAGATGCACACACTCCGGCAGAGGTAGACGCGCGCACACACACAGAGGCAGGGCACATTTAGATGCACACACTCCGGCAGAGGTAGACGCGCGCGCACACACAGAGGCAGGGCAGGCTACGTGCCGCAGTTCAGCGGGCTCATGCAGCCCTACGAGGACGTGTACGCCGGCTACCCCTACAACAACTGGGCCGCCAAGAGCCTCACGCCCGCGCCGCTCTCCACCAAGAGCTTCACCTTCTTCAACTCCATGAGCCCGCTGTCCTCGCAGTCCATGTTCCCGGCGCCCAGCACCATCTCCTCCATGAACATGCCGTCGGGCATGGCGCACTCCGCCGTGCCGCCCATGGCCGGCTCCGGCCTCAACAACATCAACAACCTCAGCGGCTCCTCGCTCAACTCGGCCATGTCGTCCAGCGCCTGCCCCTA